TTGAGAACAACGTCTACCGTCGCTGTGACGCGCGTTATGAAGTCAGTGAACTTCCCTTTCTAAGGCTCCTTATGGTATCATATCGGCTGTTATCACTTCCTGCCATCCACCAAAAATGTCCGCATCCTGTCCTCTATCTTACTTCTTGGAACCAACGTTCTACCGCTGCTGTGACGCGCGTTGTGAATTTGGTGACCCTTACCTTCCAATGCTCCTTATGGTATTCTATCACCTGTTATCACTCCCTGCCACCGACCAATAATGTTGCCATCCAGTCCTCTATCTTACTTTCTGGAACCGACATCCCGTCGTTGCTATGGCCCGCTCTATGGATTTGGTGACCCTTACCTTCAGAGGCTCCTTATGGTATACTATCAACGCTTATCACTTCCTGCCACCTACCAATAGTGTACGTGCCAGACCTTCCAGATCACTTATCATTTTCAGCGCTCAATCGCTGTTTTGAAGGAAGTTATGAATTTCCGGTCAAACACACATACACACAACCAACAGACAAACTTAGCAGAATATATATAGTAGGATTATAAAAAATAATAAAATGAATGGTATAAAGTAATACTAAGAACATTTCTCGTGTATTTTTTGAAAGCAGGAGAGGCAGTAGTGGTTTTTTACAAGAGGAACAAATCGTGCTTACTCTTTGGGCATGATTGCGAGCGTGAGTCACGCCGTGAGCCTAAAGTACAGCTCCTGTGCTGCTTCATAAGAGTCCAGGCATTCGTCATAGCACATTTGCAAACAAGATGGAAGAAAACTCTCAAGTACCACTTGTAAGTCTTCCTCTGGAAGGGGCAACAACTGGCCATCTGGTCCGACAAGTCAATAAAGGATTTCTCCTCGTTGTACTCGACAACCCCCTCAGGTTTGCCTGCATCATTCTTTGTGGCATCGTGCTTTGTTGAAATCATGATGACGTCTCTTTTATCTTTCCATTTCATTACCATGATTCCATTCTTCTGTTGAGTGAATACCTCCTTCTTTTGAGACGACGATCGACGACACCGGGCAGGTTTCCTTTCGTGTTGCCTCTCAGAGTCCCCACAAGATTTGTGGACATACTGAGAGCGCGTTCAGACTTCGCGATCGCGCGATCCGATCGCGCTACTGTGGGTGACATTCACAAAGGGAGGGAGGGGTCATGTTTGCTCATGTTTGTTGTTCCCGTTCACTTTTTCTTTTCCTTCCTTCATAACGCCTTCTTAATTTTAAGGAACGTTTCGAAATAGCTTTGAGGTGTTTTTTTTGTATTCCCTCTCAACTTTTTTCTTCAGATTCAGATATAATGTCGTGGGTGCTGCTTTTTTCCTAACCTGAAAAATCATTCTGCTGCTTTTATTTCTAGTTTGATATTTCTCCTATTTCGTATTTTTTTTGACCCGCAGTTGCCCAAGTTTTAAGAAGTGGTTCGGTATGTTCCTCATTAAAAAAGAGTCTGGCGAATCAATAATCCTGAAAAATACGAATTGAAAGGAAATATAACCGTCACAACTCCTTAAACTTGGGCAACGCTGCAAGTCAAAAATACGAAACTAGGGAAAATACCGAAGTAGAATAAGCAAGAGTTATGGGTAGTTTTATACGATATGACGGTTAGTAACCACTCGTAAGGTAAGACCGAATAGAATAACGGTAACAGTTCTATTTACACACAACACGCAGTAATAGAGAATATGACAGAAGAAATAACGCATTACTAGAAGTTGTACGAGGCCTGCACAAAAAAAACGGAATAGACCATGCAGTGCGACGCGGGGTTCTGAAATCGGCTGTCCCTGGCGCTGTATGTATCTGCGAGACTAGGTACCGGGCGCCGAATGCCCAATCGATTGCGGTGACGTTCGGTCGATCTTGTGAATCTAAGAGCAAAACTAGTACTAGAGAATGGAAAAATGGCCTGAGGTTCCCGCTGGGAGTGGTCGGCTGCAAAGAAAAGCAAAAACTTAACCAGTACCGCGAACAAGTCTTTTATATTCCGAAAGCCCGCCAAAATGTCTTGTTCGCGCTCTTCTTGCGTCGGCGTATTGATCGCCACCGCAATCGACAGATTGAGCACTCACCAGTCATACATGCACACTCCTTCCTCAGCATGTCCCCTCATCCTATAGCGAGCTGTCCCCAGCTCGTGCGAGCTCCATTTTGCTGAACGCGTGCTCAGCCGCGCGCTCCAGGTTTCTTTGGTGCCGCTTCTCCTTCCATTTCAGGTGCCTTTTCGAGATTCGGCCATCCATTAATGCCGGCTTTCCTGGCGATCCTTGGCCACGTCCTTGCTTCACCGGAGTTCCTGACGATTTCATCGACTTTGGCATCCTGATCGGCTATAAATTGAGTCTGTGCGCGTTGAGCTGATTGGACAAGTGGGTGTAGAACTCCAACGCTTGCTCGACGGCCCACCACCTGCGCGGGTCATTTACTACTCCTACCCTGAGGCATGCCATGGAAACCTTCACTACACCAGCTTCGGCGGGGACCAGATTGTGCCATTGTTCAGCGAGGTCCGGATGATTATCCGGATATCCGAGAAAATGCGTTCTCGCTTTCAAGTTCATCCGCGACCACGTGCCGTCCTCCTCAAACCGCGGTCCGTTGACCATCCAGACATGCGCCCCGCAGCGCATCCACAAGTCAACTGCTCCCACGAAGGGTATCCACGAGTATGGGTCGTCTGGCTCCTCCGGTGGCAGTACCATCACTGCCTTTTCAACTTCATCTGCAAACAAGATGTTGTCGTTCCTTTTGATTTCGCGAAAGGAGCGGTATAAGAACAAGGTCGTCCTCGGGCCTTTCAAGTAGAATGTGAATCTTCTGAGCACCTCCGGGATGACGACGACGCTCTTCCATGCTCGCTGGTCTTCCCGACTTCCTCTACGACGGTCGTCCACTCCATCTGGCGACTAATATTCGACAGCTCTTCCATGCTCGCTGGTCTTCCCGACTTCCTCTACGACGGTCGTCCACTCCATCTGGCGACTAATATTCCAGCCGTACTCCACTATCCTGGTGATGTCCCACGGCCCCTTTGAGCATCGCAAGGCTGAACTTTGCACCGACGGGTACCATGCTAGCCATAATTGCTACGTTGGTACAGCGACTACGAAAGAATGCATATGCCGTGCCGACGGCTTTGGGGGTGATGGCTAGATACGACTTGTCGCAAATACGCTGTACTTTGATCCACCGCCACCATCTCGCCTGTGTCCGATCGTCATCTCATTATCCTGCGATCATGTCTCCAGACTCAGTCATAGCGAGCCCTGGCGGGCGTTCGGTATTTCGCAAACAAAAAAATCGATAATCGCAACGTCACCTGCCTTTAAGAAAAATTGGGCAGAGATTACCCGTATAGGCGAGATTGCAAGTACCGACTTTCTCGTGAGAGAAAACCGAGCACCACACTGTCTCAAGGAGTTGCGGCCAAAAACCTGCACACAAACTATCTAGCACTGCGTCGGTTCGGCAACCACGCGAGGCTTTCGCCAAGGGATTGCCAAACCACAAGCGAAACGACGAACGAACGGACGCGAAATGAATTACGGAGGACCCTATCCTACTCGTGTATACCTACGAGTGGTGGCTTGGCCACCAAGTTATGTATGGTGTGATAAGATATGACGTTAGTAACCACTCGTAAGGTAAACTCGAATACGAAAAGGTAACAGTTTATTACAACAACACGAAATAATAGCAAAATGGACAGAAGAAAAACGCAATCACTAAAAGTTCACGAAGGTATGCACAAAAAAAGGGAATAGGCAGAAGTGCGACGACGGGGTTCTGAAATCGCTGTCCCTGGTTGAAGGTAATCTGCGAAATATCGGCGCTGAATCCCACTCGATTGCGGTGACGTCCGGTCGATCTTGTGAATCTAAGAGCAGCAAAACTAGTAATAGAGAATGGAAAAATGGTGTGAGCTTCCCGCTGGGAGTGGTCGGCTGCAAAGAAAAGCAAAAACTGAACCAGTACCGCGAACAAGCCTTTTATACTCCGAAAGCCCGCAATGCCTTGTTCGCACCCTTCTTGCGTCGGCGTATTGATCGCCACTGCAATCGACAGATTGAGCACTCACCAGTCATACATGTGCACTCCTTCCTCAACACAAGACCTACCCGATGATTTTTTAGATTAGGAAAAAACCAACATCCACGACATTGTTGAATCCGAATGTGAAAAAAAGTTGAGAGGGAATACAAAAAAAACATAACTCAAAGCTATTTCGAAACGTTCCTCAAATTTAAGAAGGCGTTATGAACACAAAGGAAGGAAGGAAAAGAAAAAGTGAACAGGAACAATAAACATGAACAAACATGACCCCTCCCTCCCGGTGTGAATTGCACACACAGTAGCGCGATCCGATCGCGCGATCGCGAAGTCTGAGCGCGCTCTTGATTCTCAGCCAACGGGGACACATGAGTACCAGTGTGGCGGGCCATTTTCGCGTGCACGACACGTACAATAGCAACCGAACAATTTATTAATAACAAAACAAAATAGAAAACAAAAAAACGGGGAAGACGACCGCTCCGTTGAGTTGGCACGGCAGACTTGCCCGGGGGAATCGGTGAGGGGGGGGGGCGTGCGTCGCCGACCAGATCACCCGTGCGATCCGTGTGATGATCTCTTGACTATCGGTTGCTCTTCGTCAGTCGACACCAGTTGTCTACATAAAGAGTTCTCCTGAATACATATAGGAGATCCTCTACCAATGTCATGACGACTCAAGCGACACTTCCAGTCCTGAGCTCGTTCTTATTGTAAAAACTTCAATGTCGGGTATATGGCCTTCAGCTGAGCACAGTTTTAAAAGTTTGATTCTGTAACGATGTCTCTTATTCGGGCTATATTGGCGGAATAAAAGCCGTGCACGGAATGGGATAAGTCTATCATCGATGCAGATGTCCTCTCCTGGCGTCTTCAGCCGCTGGCAGAGGTCTACAAACATCTTGAGGAACCTTCCGATCTTGTTTCGCATCAACTCGTCGAAAATGCTGTGCCCGGCCAAAGCGCTATCAGTGGACCAATTCCAATTTAGGTAAGGTAAGGCATGTAGTCCATCTTCATTATCATGCCAGTGATTGTGTTTACGTCGGTCGGTGTGATGTCCTTGTAACATTCATACTCTTGCTGGCCACATACATCCGTCTGCTGTACAATTAAATCCAATACCTCATCAGTCGAAAACAAACTGAAATAATCAACTCGGGCTTGGAAAACGAATCGAGCGTCCAGATCGAGATGTTCTCTTCCTGTAAATGTTGGTCTGACAGGCTTACATCGCTACTCCAAGAAGGTGAACGTGGGAGTTCGGTATCACTATCATCGTCGTCGTCATCATCCTCACAGTCACACAAATTGACCCCTCATCGAAATCCACATCTTCGTCGTCCGATTCCAATATACAGTCTCCAAAATTGCGTCCAAATCGTCAACATCACAATCCATGACCTGAAGACTATTATTTGTAAGATTTTTCTGCTCTCAAAGTTGGTTTCTACGGTTCCAGTCAACTTCAAGGAGGGCAAGACACCTATTTCATTAACCAGAGATGACATATAACTTGCTGAAGGGAAAATGTGTAAAAGTATGAAAAAAAACGACTCACGTGGTACTTGGCGAACTTTTATCCGTTGCGAGCGCGCTAAACCATAAACGGGACCATTGCCTAAGTGTCGCCCCCCGCGAACGCGCCGCTCGACAAACGGAAGTTTTTGGCGAAACGGCGCCGCCGCGAACTTGTTAGACGCCTTTGGCACGATAATTTTGCACACTTAGAAAAAGAGCAAAGGTGCCCAGTAATGCGAAAATAATGAAAAAAACGGGGCCCCAGTCTCATTTGGCGATGGCATCGGGCTAACAGCCTAGGTGTGTGATACAAACGAATTCGAAAGGAGAAAGGCAGGAAGCGCTTTCCATGAGCGGAGGATTCTGAGGTTTTCTGTGCACGTTTTTGTTGTCAGGCAAACACGAACCCAAAAAATGAAAAGCTCAATTTTGCCTTGGATCTAAAATAACAACTTATTGGACGTCGGTATACTCCCCCTAAAGCGGCCCCGGGTGTGTGTGTCGATTCAATCGTCGACGATAATTGGGTCATCGCGCCGATGAGCGGAGCCGGCGGCGTGGCGGCCGCCGCGTACGAGTTTTGTTGCGTGGCGTTCAAATTGTTAAAGTTTGAACGCCACGCACTACCTATTTCGATTACCTTTTCTCTAGTTTTTCTTTCCTAATTTTTCTATGGTTTTTATGCTACACCATCTTTAATTCGTGCTTCGGATCCAAGTTGGCCGTTGAATAGCGTTTTATCGCGTCCCTTAATTAATCTGTGCTTGTTAACTGAGGCGTGGCTTTTACTGAAATTTGAATTAAAATTGTTATGTATTCTGTTCCTTTAGTTGTGGTTACTTGCTGGGATGAATTTCGTTTGCAATTCACTCATTTAAGATGTAACATTAAAGGTAGTCGGAAAGGAAAAGTGAGGGCGAGAAACTGCGAAGTTATAGATGTAATTCTTAGTCCGATCCAGAATCAATATTTGCTTTTTTGTAAGACTACTGATTCTTAATTGCCATCTGAAATGGGATTTTCGCAAGAAATCGGGAAGTTCTGTACGTAACAATACATCTTTGGTTTTCTTTAAATGAGGTTCTTAATCGATATATTCAAGCTTCAATCTTCTAAAAGAAATTTTCGCAAGAAATCAGGAAGTCCTCAATGTAGCTATCGGCCCAGTTTTGATTTTCCTAATAATTGGTTCTTTTGAAAGGGGGTCACTTGATCGAAATCGAGCTTCAGTCTTCTGAAATGAGGTTTTCGCTTTGCTCGTCATTTCAGACGTCATTCACTAGTTGAATTGTCTTTTAGGTACCATAGGTGCTGCTGCCGAGACTCTTCGAAAAATCGAACTCGAAAATGCACAAGCGCGATCCGTTGCTGGGGCATTGACTCCGAATCCTTAGGGTCTAGATCACAAGGTGAAAAGTTTAACGGTGAGCTTTCTTCAGTTTTTTGATGATGTTTCCTTGGAGTTCTTTTTAAGATACAAGCTTTTGTATAAAGTAGTGATAAAAGTGGTAAATTGGCTTTTTGTGAAGTCTTTCTAATGCAGTGAGGTGAGGGGGTTGTTTGAAAGTCCATTCAATAAATAATAGAGGGGGGATGAATCCTCGCGCTCAATGTGTCATATCCTGTGTCGCATCTGCATTCTCCGTTTGATTTTTTAGATCACCTTCTGGTAAAGAGATCGTAGTCGACTCCAAACTAGAACTTAATAGGGGAAGGCGGTATGGCCTTATTGGCCTAAATGGGAGCGGTGAGTTTTTTCTTTTGGAAAAACCGAGATCTTGTTATTGCAGAGCTTTCAGGTAAATCAATAGTCATGCACGCCATTGTCGACAGGGAGCTTCCTATTCCTGAAACCGTTGATATGTACTTGGTTAGTTCAACTTTCGAAAATATTAGTTTTGAAATATGTTCTTTGAGAACACTTCTTGCTTTTTTCTTCTTCGTTGAATTACTTATCACCTACCGTTTCATAATCGAAGCAACTATTCATGACACTTTTCGCAGGAGCTGTCTTTGAGTTAAGTGAAGCCAACAAAATCTCGAAATGAGGCCTGCGCACTTTGGGGAATGAAAACATTTCCAGAGGAATGAAAACAGCCATCAGGTCAATTGAGCGTTCAGGTCTCTACATTCTTCAACAAGTTCTTTTGTACCACATTGACCATGGCACATTGACTTGTCATGTAACCGCTCGAATCTGTTTGGTGCTGCATAAGGCATGCTTTCATTCGCCGCTAACCACTCAATTCAAGCAGCTCATCAACACAGATGCTCCTGAAGGTGTATGTTCATACTACGTTAACTGTTTGCCTTCCATTACATACGGTCAGCATCATTTCCATTATTCAATGGCTATGTTAGGTTGAGTCGGCACTGGAATGAAGCAAGCCATTTTCTTTCGCAGTGCGATGCTTTTAGATCGCAGTTCAATTTTTTACAGCCGATGTGATTGCAAGGTAATTTTAATATGGTTTTACATTGCTTGCATGTCCCTACAATACTCCTCTTGAAGGGTACTCGAAATAGGTACGACGGCAATACCAATCCTCCCTTGAGTTACTAATGGTCTGTAAACATTTTTTGCGGTTCTCTTGTTTTTGCGGTTCTCTTGTTGCAAGCCAGTCCTGATACCTTATCTCGGACAACACACTCCCGATTGACCATTCGAAATACCTTCCCAAAATGTTCTAGGAGGTTTGATCTCGGCTCTACTTTCTCCGCTCATTTCAGATTGTTCCGGAAATGGTGAAGGCCTCGAAGTGCCACTGAGAAGGATTGACCGGCGCACATTCCTCACGAGACAGTCAATAATAAATGAAGCCTTTACCATATTATTCAGTTCCTGTTGCTTTACCATATTATTCTGTTCCTATTTTGGGAGAATTCTACAAATTGTATAGTAACATAACTGTTTGTAAACCACGTAATAAAATTATGGAAACATGGGAAAGTCGCTCCAATGAAAAGTGAAACTGAGGAAGTATAACACTGGAATAGCAGAAAACCAACGAAGCTCAAAGAAAGAAAGCCTATTTTGCTTCATTTGAATAACAAACTGCTCCAGAACTCTTGGAAGCAGATCAAAGAGCGAAGGTTTGATCACTATGTCCCCCGAATCAGCCTATCGCGAAGGGCCGAAGTGGCTGTGCTCTTTAGTCTTTAGTTCATACGTGAGGATCATGGAAGTACACATAAGACACATAGATTCTCAATAGATTTGTTAACTGCAGCGCGAAAAACCGCTTTTTTTCGTAGCATCAAATAAGACATGTACTGATGTGGACATGACGATGTGATGTGATAACATGGTTTTTGACAATGTTGAACAAGGCAATGTCATTAATGCAACACTTGCCCTCTTCGTATATGTTATTTCTCTCATTATCTGAACTGTATCTTGAAGATGGCAATGTTTTTCGTCAGCATTTCACTGGGTCTTCATGGACCTGCACGTGACCTCTTATCCAAAAATAGCCGAAGGGCGTAACAGGGCAGAAGCAACCTTGAGGATGCGATATCCTAAGGACTGGACAACACATAATGACAGTGCTATACCTTAACACGAGAAATGGAAAGAATGGGAAGGAGGGCTGGATTCCAGCAGTCAACGCCGGGCGTTATGTTGAACAGTCACATGAAACGCAAGCACGCCGGAAAAGAGAAGTCGAGCGTGATAGTAGTTGAACTGAATGAATGTAATCGAAAAAAACTGGGGTAGCAGCATGGTTACAGTGAAAATAACTGAAGCGTTCTAGCAGTTCACGATGGGGTTCATTTTGAAAAAAACTCACATGACAACCCTCGCGCCTATGCTAGAAATGAGGAAAATCCCATCGAAACACTGAAGCAAGGTGAAAACTGTAAAAAAATGTTGATATTTAGTGAAAACCGAGTAGGAACTATATAGAACACGTTCAAAATGGTGGGAGCGAATATGGGCGCCGCAGCAGTACATAGATGGTGTTACAGTTTAGTTCAGTTCAGAATCAGTCGAAATAGAATTAACAATTCATTCCATAGTGTTAGTGCGACGCCGTGAAACAAAGCTAATCCTTTGCTCCAACGAGAACTGATGGGTACGGTAATGCCAATCCGGGATTGCCGCGCCGCGTCGCCGCGCGACACGCCGCCACGCGACGTGTGCGGCGTGACCTGAGTTGCCGACGATAGAATCGCCCGGGACCCCCTTCAGTCGGTGTACATCTCTTTCAAATGGCCGCTTTGACCCACCATCCTTCCCTAGTGAACCTTCCTAGGAGGTCCTGCTTCTCGACCATACACTTCAAGAAAATAGTTCTGCGACATTAGTTTCTTGACTAGACGCGAAAAGGGAATGTCAGGCACGCTGTAGCTATATCTATATCGTGTTCTGCCCCGGCAGCTCAATCTCTCAAAATTTGTTCATTCGAATCGTATCGAACAGAGTAAGATTTTACCTACGTTAAACAGCGTTCAGAGGCGGAGGTGGTGTGATGACAAGTGGCGCGCTTACCACTCGTACGGTCCTGGATTCGAATCCCAAGTCGACATCCGCCCAGGCCAACCAAGCATTTTACCCTCCGGGAACGGTAAATTGGTACCGGAATCGTCTGGGAGGATAAGAACACTGACTCGTACATCGGCTGGCCCCCCGCAAGTGTATAGGCCACATCGCACTGGGTGAGCACCTTTAGCCGTGTAAGATACTGTGAGGACCACCTAGTGCATGCCTGGCATGACCTCACTTAATTGCTGTGCTGACCTCTTTGCAGTCCCAATGCAAGTACAATGTCGAGTGTTGGAGAAGGAAATTCCTTTATAGTGGCACCAAATTTGCAAAGAAATAAATAAAAATGCACTACCTAACATTCCAAAAATTATGTAGTTTTACTAGTTACGCATCTAGCCATTCTTGGGCTGTGGAGGGGTGTGAGACTTCCTGAGAAGAAATGGGCGACAAAGCTGGGGGAGCTGTGGAGGAACCTGTGAATTTCGAGTGAGAATGCTGTTGCGATTGCATGCATAGTCCCGTAGTACACCTTGCCCAGGTTGAAAACTCCATGAGTATTTCTAAGGAGTGTTCTAAAATGGGGTAGACGTCAGGAAATATGCAGGTGAGAAAACTCGGACGTTACTGGTGTGAAGATGAACCATCGAAGGGAGCCATGCAGAGAGTCTAGAGCTGGTGCTGGCGGTAGAGCGGCAGAAATGTGCAGAGAATCGGGTGGAGTAGAACCTGTAAGGAGTGAGTGAAACGAAGAGTCATGGCAGGACTCGTTGAGTAGTAACTGAAAGCATGCTCATGCAACGACAAACACTGACGAGGTGTAATAAAGTTGTTCTCATCCAGCTATTACTGACGAAATTCCTAAGATTGGGTAGGCGTGGCTGCACGCTTCAAGTTAACCTGAAGGAGCTATGCTTCTGCTGACAACATTTTCCATCTGACACAATTGTTGTCGTGCCTCTGTCCAACAGAACAATATGACAGTTCTCCCAGACTGGAAATATTCCACGGTAACCAATTCAGTGCTGTGTTCAAATGCCCACCTTCACTGGCTCAGGGATAAGGAATGTATATGAAACGTATTTTCAGATAGACCTTTCATACGGTGGGAGCAGCACTTAGAAGGTCAACAGAGGGAGAGAGAGAGAGGCTATAAGAGAGGTGTGTGAATGTCATCCTGCAAGAAATAATTTGCCTTTGGAAAGCATCAGAAATGGATGGTGCACGTACCACACAGGAAATCTAAAAAAAAACAGAAATTTCTAAAAATTCAAGAGTCTTCGATACGAACATTTATACTCATTCTAATATTCATTGGATTGGGGAATTACTGATCTTCACATGTCAGATCCTACTGATAGATGAATTCAATTCGATTTATCTCGTTTCGTTGAGCAGCCAGTGAGAGGTCAGCAGTCAGCGCAGCAGTTAAGTGAGGTCATGCCGCAGGCAGGCCTCGGGGTATGCCCGTATACCTCTCCAGCTATCCGCCACCCCATCGCACTCAATAAGCCACTACAATTTTGAATGGGAGTAGAATGCGTGTCGCATCCCACAAAGCGATTGGTTAACGGCGAAGACTGTATAGAGACTGTACGGCGAAGACGACAGCGTTCAGACTCAACGCGCCTTCAAGCGCAGCAACACGCCTTGCTGCGCTTGAACACGCGTTGAGTCTGAACGCTGTCGTCTTCGCGCGCTTTAACACGCTACAGTTACAAGCGCGCTCGGCACTATCGTACTGCTTCACCTCAGTGACCTTCTGAGCGTGAATATCACATCCGCTTGGCCCGAAACCGCCTGGCGCCCGCACAACAGGCGCCAGCGCCTAAACACCCTAAATCAATGAAAATCTGTCCCTAGTGGTAGCTTAACCTCCGGCCCCAAAACACCCTAAATTACCAGAATCGATGAAAATCTGTCCCTAAGGGTAGCTTAACCTCCTGAACAAGACTATCACATCCGTTTGGCACGAAAGCGCCTGGCGCCCGCGTCGGCGTTAAACCTTTCTGCAAATTTTTTGCTGAAACTTTGAATACAGGGGTAATTCGGACCCGTAATCACGAATACGACATTACTTTTTAGCGCTGGCGCCATTTGGCGCCATCAGGCACCAGTTTGTCTCCAAGTTGATGAAACATACCTGGTATAGGGGGGGGGGTGGTCAATTGACATTCTGATCACGGACAATGCATTTATTTTTGACCTTGGCGTCAACCGTTTTTCACAAAAATCGATAAAATCTTGCCTAATAGAGTTGTCTGATGTCCTGACGGCGAACATTGCAGTTATTTTCCGACAGTTGTTCACAGCAGCACCTTTAAGCGCTCTGCTAAGGCTAAACCTGGGGGAAGGAGTGATTCCCTTCATGCGAGGCTCTGCCTTAGCGGAGCGCAAATTGATCGTGCTGTCCTCTATCAAGACCCGCGCCAAGTTTAAATGTCATATTCGTAATCGGCATGTCAAATAACCCCATATATGGGTTTTCATCGATTTTGGTGATTTGTATTGTCTTGGCGCTGGCGCCTATGGCACGGCGGTTTTGGGCCGAGCGAAAGTGATAGTCTTGTTCAGGAGATCAAGCTATCCCTAGAGACAGACTTTCACAATTCTGGTGGTTTAGGGTGTTTTGGCGCCGGCGCGTGTGGCGCGGACGCCATACGGTTTCGGGCCAAGCGGATGCGATAGTCTTGTTCAGGATGTTAAGTTCCCCCCCCCTAGGAACATGTTCTCCCTGATTTTGGTAATTTAGGGTGTTTTGGTGCCGGATGTCATGTTACGCCTAGGGACAAATTTTCATCAATTTTTGTGATTTAGGGTGGTTTGGCGCCTGTGGTGTGGGAGCTACGCGGTTTCAGGCAGAGCGGATGTGATATACATGTTCAGGAGGTCACACTGGGGTAGAATCGGTACGATAGTGCCGAGCGCGCTCGTAACTGTAGCGTGTTAAAGCGCTCAAACGGTCTCCAACACGCAGCAGCTTGTTCAAGCGCGTGTTGTTGCGCTTGAAAGCGCGCTGAGTCTGAGCGCTGTCTTAGGATATATGAAGACAAGTTGATTACTTAGTTGTATGCAGCTTTACGTCCTCAATCGAGTACGACCCGTCGCTTCACAATCACTGTGGGTTCACCATGGACTTACCATCTTTGCTGTACTGATGAGTACGGATTCAGCTCATACCTCCTGACAAGTTCATGTTCACTAATAAGGTTTCGTATTGCTGTTCGGTACTGTTACAGTCCAAAGCAGACGCGTGGGAAAAGGTAGCAGGACTCAGTTCCTA